CTTTTACTTTACAATCCATTCTTTATTCTATTCTAATTGTTCTATTATTAATATTAAATTATCCAAACCACAAGATACCATTCTATTTTATTATTAATTCAAACTTAATTAATATACTTCGCGAGTATGATCCGTAATTGTTTACTAATATATCTATTCATTCTTTCTCATCCAAAATTTGATACTTTTATCCTCACTCACTGATACAATTAAATCTTCATTAATATTTATTACCAAACAATAAATACTATTACTATATAAATGAATGGTTGATTAATAGATTGATGACTAGATTAAATGGTTTATTATTAACATTCTGTGAACAAAAGTCTCTAATCCATTGATAATTTTTGATTAAGTTGAATTGTAACAACTGACAGTTTGTGTATTTGAGAGCAAAAAATATATTTTTCTTTTTCTTTTCCTATAATTTTAGGTTTTTACATTTAATTAATAAAAAATATGTGATAGAAATATAAATAATCATTTTTTCTTTGAGGAGAACTGGCTTTCCAAAAAAGTACTACCTTTTTGTCTAAATAAATTGTATAAATAGATCCCTGATTAATTTACAAATTCACCTTTCAAGATTAAAGAGTCCTATGCTTAAAAAATAGCTTATTAGGATATTAAAATAATATTTAGATTGGTACCTGGATAAGGACTGTTTTCAAATTTTGGAGTTTTAAATTATTTTAAAACATCTTTGTAATTTTTATCAGATGAGTGAATTTCTATTCCTGTTTTAACATCCTATAGAAGAATGGAATTATCAGCACTACTTGATGCTAATGTAGTACCGTCAGGAGAGAAGCATACTGATAGAACGCAACTACTATGACCATCTAATTTTGTCTGTTATTATCCTGTCTTAACATCCCATAAGTAAATAGACTTATCTCTGCTACCAGATGCTAGTGTAGTTCCATCAGGAGAGAAACATACTGAGTTGATCTAATCCACATGACCCTCCAATTTGGTTTGTTATTATCCCGTCATAACACTCCATAAGAAAATAGACTTATCATTACTACCAGATGCTAATGTAGTACCATCAGGAGAGAAGCATACTGAGTTGACTGAATTCCTATGACCATCCAATTTGGCTTTTTATTATCGTGTTTTGACATCCCATAAACGGATGGACTTATCGCTACTACCAGATGCTAATGTAGTACCATCAGGAGAGAAGCATACTGAGTTGACTGAATTCCTATGACCATCCAATTTGGCTTTTTATTATCCTGTCTTAATATCCCATAAACGGATAGACTTATCAGCACTAACAGATGCTAATGTAGTACCATCAGGAGAGAAGCATACCGAGTTGATTTAACTACTATTACCATTCAATTAGATTTTTGATTATCCTGTCTTCACATTCCATAAACGGATAGACTTATCCCAACTACCAGAAGCTAATATAGTACCATCAGGAGAGAAGCATACTGAATAAACATAACCACTATGTCCTTTCAATTTTGCCTTTTATAAGCCTGTCTTAACATCCCATAAACGGATAGAGTTATCTTCACTACCAGATGCTAGTGTAGTTCCGTCAGGAGAGTAGCATACTGTATAAATATAACCACTATGACCATCAAATTTGGAATTTTATTATCCTGCCTTAATATCCCATAAACGAATAGACTTATCCCAACTACCAGATGCTAATGTAGTACCATCAGGAGAGAAGCATATAGAGGGAACATAACTACTATGACTATCCATTTATAACTTATATTATCTTGTCTTAATATCCCAAAAGATAATAGTGTTATCATTACTACTAGATGCTAATGTAGTACCATCAGGAGAAAAGCATATAGAGTTAACTTGACAACTATGCCCCTCCAATTTCGCCTTTTATTACCCTGTCTTAACATTCCATAAATAGATAGACTTATCATTACTACCAGATGCAATTATAGTACCATCATGAGAGAAGCATACTGAGTTAACTCCACAACTATGACCCTCCAATTTCGCCTTTTATTATCCTGTCTTAACATCCCATAAACGGATAGACTTATCCCAACTACCAGATGCTAGTATAGTTCCATCAGGAGAGAAGCATACTGATTTGACTTTATGCTTATGACCATCAAATTTGGCCTTTTATTAGCCTGACTTAACATCCCATAAACGGATAAAGTTATCTTCACTACCAGATGCTAAGGTAGTACCATCAGGAGAGAAGCATACTGAATAAACATAACCACTATGACCTTTCATATAATAAATGAGGCATTTATATTATAAAAAATATTTTTGATATGAATTTTACTTATATCATTGTTCTTAATATCCTCTAATTTGTATTTATTTTTATTTGTTATCCCAAGTAACTAAATACTGTCCATTATCACTCATTGTTCCAGATATAAGTTTAGTTCCAAAATGCATAGATTATTGAATTAATAAGTCTCCATTTTATTTTTTCCTAATGATGTTGACATATTCACCATTTTTACTCATAAGCATACATTTTGCATTTATACATTATGAAGGAAATAGACAAATACTATCTGATCCACATTTTATTGTAATATCTTTAGTTTTGGTAAATTCATTATTCATCTCATAAACAGACATCTATTCTTTACCCTTTGGTGAGAATGTAAACATATTATTATCAATAAAGCATACTCTGAATCCAAACTATTCAACATTGATCTTTTACTTTACAATCCATTCTTTATTCTATTCTAATTGTTCTATTATTAATATTAAATTATCCAAACCACAAGATACCATTCTATTTTATTATTAATTCAAACTTAATTAATATACTTCGCGAGTATGATCCGTAATTGTTTACTAATATATCTATTCATTCTTTCTCATCCAAAATTTGATACTTTTATCCTCACTCACTGATACAATTAAATCTTCATTAATATTTATTACCAAACAATAAATACTATTACTATATAAATGAATGTTTGATTAATAGATTGATGACTAGATTAAATGGTTTATTATTAGCATTCTGTGAACAAAAGTCTCTAATCCATTGATAATTTTTGATTAAGTTGAATTGTAACAACTGACAGTTTGTGTATTTGAGAGCAAAAAATATATTTTTCTTTTTCTTTTCCTATAATTTTAGGTTTTTACATTTAATTAATAAAAAATATGTGATAGAAATATAAATAATCATTTTTTCTTTGAGGAGAACTGGCTTTCCAAAAAAGTACTACCTTTTTGTCTAAATAAATTGTATAAATAGATCCCTGATTAATTTACAAATTCACCTTTCAAGATTAAAGAGTCCTATGCTTAAAAAATAGCTTATTAGGATATTAAAATAATATTTAGATTGGTACCTGGATAAGGACTGTTTTCAAATTTTGGAGTTTTAAATTATTTTAAAACATCTTTGTAATTTTTATCAGATGAGTGAATTTCTATTCCTGTTTTAACATCCTATAGAAGAATGGAATTATCAGCACTACTTGATGCTAATGTAGTACCGTCAGGAGAGAAGCATACTGATAGAACGCAACTACTATGACCATCTAATTTTGTCTGTTATTATCCTGTCTTAACATCCCATAAG